GGGCCGAGGGGTGGCCATTTTCGTGGGAAATTCCGGGTTTGGTGGCCATTTTCGTGGGAAATTCGAGGCTGAAGTGGACATTTTCGTGGGAAATTCCGGGTTTGGTGGCCATTTTCGTGGGAATGGGCCGAGGGGTGGCCAATTTCCCGCGAATAGATAGGGTTTTAATACATGTGATAAAGAGTGTTTAGGGTTTGGGGTTTAGGGTTTGGGGGTTGGGGTTCAGAGTTTGGGGGTTAGGGCCACCTGGGTTCTGGAACACCTTGCTGGAATGTTTTGTTGTTTGGGGCAGGTGAAAGGAACCATTATGACAGCCTCTACTTCTTTCTCCTTGGTTTTCGTCAAAGTCCAGACATACCAGGGTTTAGGTGTGCTAGGGCTTCAGGGTTACGGCTTAGGGTCCTAAACCCTAAACCCCTAAACCCTAAACCCCTAAACCCTAAACCCTAAACCCTAAACCCAGGGTTTCAGGATTTAGGGTTTAGGGTCCAGGTGCTGGGTTCCTTGGTTAAGGGTTCTCCCGAAGGGTTCTACGCGGGTTTTGTAGGGTTCTGGGTTCAGGGTTTTGGGATTTAGGGTTTAGGGTTTAGGGTTTAAGGTTGTATACGGGTTTTGTAGGGTTCTGGGTTGAGTGGGTCGATGTTTTGCATGATCAGCTTTAGAATTCAACCAGAACCCCGGCCCGCGCGGCTGCAACACCCCAAACCCTAAATCCTATAGACAGCCAAGGCCCAAAACCTGATCCTCTAAAGCCTACCGCCCGCTGAGTGCCCCGGACACTAACAGTTAGAGTCTACGATAACCCACAATCCGGGCTTTTCGGGGGCAAGGGGGACTTGGCTGGGTTGGGCATCTTGGTTTAGGTATTTATAGCACCAAGTTAGATAAAGCTGACGTACAACGTCCCATGATCCCCGGAGCCCGATACTTATCATAGCACCAAGCAGGCGTCATATCATGTCATGATCACTTCGGCATTCTCAAAGCCCGAATCCCACGCCAACATCCTCCAATGAAGCGATCTCCTTTCTGACTTAAACCATATTCCGGCATATAGCCCTCACCTAAGCCTATGAAGGGGTGTTTCATTATCTCTGGGAAACCCTAAACCGTAAAGCGCCGAAATCCTAAACCTTAAGCATTCTTAAACCCTAACCCTAAATCCTAGACCCTAGACCCTAAACCCTAAACCCTAATCCTAGACCCTAAACCCCAGGCCCCAGATTCAAGATCCTCAGGCGGTATGCGCTCCTTCGCGGACACCAAGAAGGGTGCTGAGGTGCAAAAGACCCGAGAGGCCAGGGGGGAAGATCCCAGAAAGTCCGAACAAGAGTGGGGGGGGGGGGGGGGGGGGG